ATTTTCAATTGATTAAATTTTTAGCAACTGTCTGCAGACTACACGTCTAATAAATTATGTTTATGGTCGTATTGTATTGCGCATTATTTATTGAGTATTTATGTTCATAATATTTGGCAGATATTGCGTTTTTCAAAATCGATTCCTTATGGTATTTAAAAAAGTTAATAACAAATAAATAATAATCGATTTAACCTATTGTTATATCATTTAAATCCCAATATTTCGAAGAATAAGGAATCATATGGTATTGGAAATAATTATGGGTTAAATTCCAAGGTGTAGATTCGTTTTGAAAAACGTTTCTGGAATATAAATTTTTTATGGCAGATATTTTAAAAACTACTGGCCTATATAAGGCCAAAAGCCATATTGTGATTTGAGATTCAAAGGGAGTCAAATCACAATGGAGCAAAAATTGCTAAGTTTTCGACTGATCTAGAATTGCAAGAATGTAAATATTTTTTACTACGATAATCAATTTTCCCTTTATGATATCGAAAAAGAGTTGCAAAACTAGTAGATTCTTGCAGGTTCTGGGACTGAGCATTTGTTGTGAACTTGTTGTCAAGACAACGTTTGACAACAAGTTCACAATGAGTGACCTTATTTAGGTCTTGACCTATAACAATATTGTAAATCACGTGTTCTAAAACTTTTCCACTGCCTTATGGAAATTTTCTGAATTTCGAAAACAAAACTTTCCATTGTTTTATTTAAATTTTGTAATTGAATTATACATTGTTTTTACATGTTTAATTACAATTTGTTGTTTTTTTTTCTATTGTCATTGCTGTCGATTATAATTAATTGTGGTATTTATTTATTTTTTTATTTACTTGTTTTATTGTCATTCCTTTTCGTTCGTATTTTACTTTCTTGAAAACTATGCCAAGTGCTAAATTGTATTATTTAACACATTTAAAATAGTTTTTCTAACCCACCAAAAATAAATGGCTACATCAGAGGGGGAAAATTACAAAAAAGTACATAAATAAATAAAAAAGAAAATAAAAAAAATTAACAGAAAAAAGATCCGTCAGTCAATTTCTGTTGACAACAATATATCTTTGTCCAAAAATGTTTTTGAGTGATATTGAAATGAGAGGTTGACAAGGAGTTTTTTAAATATATATGTATATATACAAAATATACACATATATTTGATTTTCACTGGCAATAAACACGATGTTTTTTTGTTGTTGTTTTGAAATTTATGGAACGACGTACTAGTTAAATATAGAAATTATTTTCTTAATGATTTTCAAAGAGTTTAATATAATATAGCAGATATTTATAATTTCCCATATAAATCACTGTATACATGACCTACATATATAGGATTATTGGTGATATATAATTTTTAATTTTCAAAATGAGGATTTATAGAAATATTTTTCATAAACTCTTATCAACGTTGATGTGTTTTAATTTTTTTCTGTGGTCTGTTTATAAACGTGGAATGTTTGAATTTTTTTACACTTTAGTAACGTGATTTTTTTAAAATATTTTTTTGAGAATTTTCATAAATGTGGATTTTGAAACATGTTATTATTAAATATACTTTGCCGACGATATATATATATATATATATATATATATATATATATATATATATATATATATATATATATATATATATATATATATATATATATATATATATATATATATATATATATATATATATATATATATATATATATATATATATATATATATATATATATATATTTCTTGATTATTCAATGCGTAATATTCAAATTATTATTCCCCATAACAATAATTAATTAATGTCGTATTACTACAGGGTCTTTCTAATTTTTTAATGTAAACATGTAATATTCAGGTGAATATTTTTTTGTGATTATTGATTAGAACAGTGTTGGCTTGTTTGTTCGGGATACCATAGTATTTTGTTGTTGCAAAATGATCAGGCTTAATCCCTTTATTCTTATTTTTTTTATAAAAACAACGTTTGTTGATTAGTGGAGAACGATGGTAATGTTTAGCAGGGAATACCTAGGTTTCGGAAAGAACCGCCACTGATGAGGATTGATGGCTCTTTCCGAAACCGAGGTATTCACTGTGTCGAATTGACACTTAATTTGGTATTGGGTCAAGAAATAGGGCCCCAAATTTGATATTGAGGTCACTGTTGGTATCTGGAGTTTAGATCTGGTAGTTGTTTTGCAAAGGGTTGGAATCCCCAAATTCGATATTAAAGTCCGAAATTTGAAACTGAGGTCTCTGTTCGTATCTGGAATTGATTTAGATGTCACCGTGTGTCTGTTGTAAAGATGTATAGGTGGTTTTGGAAATTCGTCCTAAAATTGTACGAAAATTATTGCGACTGAATTTGTAATTGGGTCTAAAGGATATTAAGATCTTCTGAACATATAGGACCTTAAGGTCTTCTATTGACCCTAGAGGACCTTAAGGCCTTCTATTGACCATAGGGAACCTTGAGGTCTTCTATTGACTATAGAGGACCTCGAGGTCTTCTATTGACCATAGAGGACCTCGAGGTCTTCTATTGACCATAGAGGACCTCGAGGTCTTCTATTGACCATAGAGGACCTCGAGGTCTTCTATTGACCATAGAGGACCTCGAGGTCTTCTATTGATCACAGAGGACCTCGAGGTCTTCTATTAACCACAGAGGACCTCGAGGTCTTCTATTGACTATAGAGGACCTCGAGGTCTTCTATTTACCTTAGAGGACCTCGAGGTCTTCTATAGGGAGCCCCTAGGTCTTCTATTGGCCATGGAGGACCACAGAGGACCTCGAGGTCTTCTATTGACCATAGACGACCTCGAGGTCTTCTATTGACCACAGAGGACCTCGAGGTCTTCTATTGACTAGAGAGGACCTCGAGGTCTTCTATAGGGAGCCCCTAGGTCTTCTATTGGCCATGGAGGACCTCGAGGTCTTCTATTTACCATAGAGGAACTTTAGATCTCCTATTGACCATAGAGGACCTCGAGGTCTTCTATTGGCTATAGAGAACATTGAGGTCTTCTATTGACCGTAGAAAGCTATTGACCATAGAGGACCTCGAGGTCTTCTATTGACCATAGAGGACCTCGAGGTCTTCTATTGACCATAGAGGACCTCGAGGTCTTCTATTGACCATAGAGGACCTCGAGGTCTTCTATTGACCATAGAGGATCTCGAGGTCTTCTATTGACCATAGAGGACCTCGAGGTCTTCTATTGACCATAGAGGACCTCGAGGTCTTCTATTGACCATAGAGGACCTCGAGGTCTTCTATTGACCATAGAGGACCTCGAGGTCTTCTATTGACCATAGAGGACCTCGAGGTCTTCTATTGACCATAGAGGATCTCGAGGTCTTCTATTGACCATAGAGGACCTCGAGGTCTTCTATTGACCATAGAGGACCTCGAGGTCTTCTATTGACCATAGAGGACCTCTAGGTCTTCTATTGACCATAGAGGACCTCGAGGTCTTCTATTGACCATAGAGGACCTCGAGGTCTTCTATTGACCATGGAGGACCTCGAGGTCTTCTATTGACCATAGAGGACCTCGAGGTCTTCTATTGACCATAGAGGACCTCGAGGTCTTCTATTGACCATAGAGGACCTCGAGGTCTTCCATTGACCATAGAGGACCTTGAGGTTTTTTATTGACCATAGACGACCTCGAGGTCTTCTATTGACCACAGAGGACCTCGAGGTCTTCTATTGACCACAGAGGACCTCGAGGTCTTCTATTGACCACAGAGGACCTCGAGGTCTTCTATTGACTATAGAGGACTTTGAGGTCTTCTATTGACTATAGAAACCCTGGAGGTTTTCTAATGACCATAGAGGACCTCGAGGTCTTCTGTTGACCATAGAGGACCTCGAGGTCTTCTATTGACCATAAAGGACCTTGAGGTCTTCTATTGACCATAGAGGACCTCGAGGTCTTCTATTGACCATAGAGGACCTCGAGGTCTTCTATTGACCATAGAGGACCTCGAGGTCTTCTATTGACCATAGAGGACCTCGAGGTCTTCTATTGACCACAGAGGACCTCGAGGTCTTCTATTGGCCACAGAGGACCTCGAGGTCTTCTATTGACTATAGAGGACTTTGAGGTCTTCTATTGACTATAGAAACCCTGGAGGTTTTCTAATGACCATAGAGGACCTCGAGGTCTTCTGTTGACCATAGAGGACCTCGAGGTCTCTATTGACCATAGAGGACCTCGAGGTCTTCTATTGACCATAGAGGATCTCGAGGTCTTCTATTGATCATAGAGGACCTCGAGGTCTTCTATTGACCAAAGAGGACCTCAAGGTCTTCTATTGACCATAGGGGACCTCGAGGTCTTCTATTGACCATAGAGGACCTCGAGGTCTTCTATAGGGAGCCCCTAGGTCTTCTATTGATCATAGAGGACCTTGAGGTCTCCTATTGACCATAGTGGACCTTGAGGTCTTCTATTGACCGTAGAGAGCATTTGCCATAGAGGACCTCGAGGCCTTCTATTGACCATAGAGAACCTCGAGGTTTTCTATCTACCACAGAGGACCTTAAGATATTCCATTCCTGGGTTTTACTAATATACTCCTCGGTGAACTTCAAAATGAAATATAAAAAAAGTAAAAATGTTCCCTTATTATACTTTCCGATAAAGGAAAAACTTGAATATGCAGGTTTTACGGAAAGTCTAAAAATTAAGAACGATGTATGAAGTTTCTATTATTTTTGGTTGCTAAACTGAACAAGTTGTGCATTTTGAGTACTAAAAAGCCCTAACGAGAAGTGTTGGAGCGAATCTAAAATTTTGAACTAGAGTTTTTCTTATGTAGTTCTCTTTAAAATAGTTTTAGTATTATCGTTTTTTTATAAAATATTAATATTCCATATTTTTTCTTACTCTAATTTCAGATAAAATCTTTTATGAAGTGTTGGAAAAAAATCTAAAAAAAATATTTTGAAAAAAATTGCATTTTCTTTCAGTGATAATTTAAAGTAAAGAATATTCAAAAAATAGCAAGCAAGTGGTAATTTGAAAATAAAAAAATTTAAAAGTCAACCTTGAAATTAAATTCACATCAAATTTTTCAAAAATTAAAAGAAAATATAATTTTCCAAAAGAAAAGCAGAACGAAGCAGAAAATAATTGAAGTGCAGTGAAACGAAACAAACGATGGCCACACTGTGTATTATACCCGATAATACACATTTCAGCAATAGAAGCGAAAAAGACTTTGACAGTCTCAACGTTAGCGCCAATTCTTGTGCCGCTGCCGCCAACGCTGCTGCCTCAGCCTCAGTTAGCCACTCTAGCAGTGAGCCATCAAAAGTCCGCAAATTCTTTAGCAACAGCTCCAATTATCAGAGTAAAATCCAACAGCTAATCAGTTTCAGTTTCACCTCATCGAATTTTATTTTCATCACTTTTATTCTGAGCATTAGCAAGCTATGTACCACTGCTGCCGCTGATCCCTCACAGGCGGGGCCTGCCCATCAACCGGCCACCGCTACCCCTCCGGGCTTTCTGATGAACAATTTCAGCAGTTCGGCATTGTTGGAAAAATTGAGCTCATTTCGTACGAGCACCTTGGGTCCCCCCACTGGCACGGTTAAAGGTAAAGATGGCCAAGGGCCCAACAATTCGACGGGTCTTCGTAGTAATAAAACGCATAGCGGTAGCTTGAACTCCACCACATCTGCGACGTCTATGTCCAAATCATTATTGGGATCAGTGTCATCAACAACAACAACAACCTCGACCACCTCCACCACATCATCACCATTAGATTTGAATTCATCATCGTCCTCGTCGTCGCCAACGACAACCTCATCTTTATTGAATAATTTCGATAGTATTGGTAATGGAATCTTAGATGGCAATAGTCAGTCCATATTATTTTTAAATATTTCGGGAAAAGTTGGTACACCATTGGGTATAGGTAAGTAAAATAACTGTAGTATTAATTGTTTAATTTTGAAAATATGTGTTTTCTATAATCTCAGATGGGGATCGGAATGAGAGGCGGTACCCAGAAATTGATTTTTTATCCGATCTTGGCCCAAAGTTTGGAGTCTGATTCCGTATCGCCTGACTTGCTTTGAAGCTATTTTCCGTCCTTCAATTGGGGCATAAATGTAGATTCCGATTCAGTATCCTCTGAGCAACCCAAAACCCATTGTCCGTCCTACTTAGTACCTCCCATCCCTCCTATTCATTCATCCTTGTAATCGCCTAATTGTCATTCCTCTTTCTCATTACCCCTCCTTATCCCACAATTTCATTATTTTAACTTTTTTCCCAAAATATTTGACTTTTCCATTTTCAATTCCATCTCTTCACAATTTTTTTACCCAGTCTTGTCTTCATTTTCAATTCGTGTCTGGTTTAACAAGTTTTCCATACTATTTTTGCTTCTCAAATATTTGTAATACCTGTTGTTGTTGTTGTTTTTGCTGTTGTTGTAGTTGTTGCTGTTACTATTTTTGTATGTGAAAGATTTCTTAATAGTTTAAAAATAACTTTTAATGCCACACAACGAAAAAAAAAACGAATTCCACGACGAGGAAAACTCATCTGCTGCCATGTTTGGTGTGGTTGGAATTTTCTTCAAATTCAAACTTTTGTAAATTCAATTCGAATGTTTGGTTTGCCGCTGAACTCCAATGGAAATCAGAAGGTGCCAAACTTTTGAGGGGAAAATACTTATTTTAGAGACTCGATAGATAAAAATTGTCGATAGTGAGATTTTCCTTTAAAAAAAAAAAAACAAAATATTTTCGATTACGATTTTTCTATAGAAAAATTATCGATAATACGATTTTTCTATAGAAAAATTTTCGATAATGCGATTTTTCGATAGAAAAATTTTCGATAATGCGATTTTTCGATAGAAAAATTTTCGATAATGCGATTTTTCGATAGAAAAATTTTCGATAATGCGATTTTTCGATAGAAAAATTTTCGATAATGCGATTTTTCGATAGAAAAATTTTCGATGATGCGATTTTTCGATAGAAAAATTTTCGATAATGCGATTTTTCGATAGAAAAATTTTCGATAATGCGATTTTTCGATAGAAAAATTTTCGATAATGCGATTTTTCGATAGAAAAATTTTCGATAATGCGATTTTTCGATAGAAAAATTTTCGATAATGCGATTTTTCGATAGAAAAATTTTCGATAATGCGATTTTTCGATAGAAAAATTTTCGATAATGCGATTTTTCGATAGAAAAATTTTCGATAATGCTATTTTTCGATAGAAAAATTTTCGATAATTCAAATTTTTTTCTATAGAAAAATTATCGATAATTCAAATTTTTTTCTTTAGAAAAATTATCGATAGTTGGATTTTTCTATAGAAAAAGGATCGACAATTCGATTTCTATAGAAAAGGTATCGATATTGAGGTATATATTTTTTGGAAAATATTAAAATCCCCTCTCACAACAGTTTGTAGTTCTCTGCCTTTTCCTCAACACTCTTACTGGCCACTTGCAGTTGATGCCTCTCTGGCTGTTGCTATTGTAAACATTCAAACCGGCATTTGTTCACTTTTCATCTTCGTTCAATATCTGTTTACCATTTCTCTTTTTCTCTCTCTCCCATGTTCTTTAGAAGATATGATGTGGTCTGGCTTTCAACTACGTCAGTATATCTACTTAGAGGGACAAATGCGATTTTCCCATTTTTTCTTGTTTTTTTTTTCTTTCATTTCTCTTTTAGTTCCCTGTTCCCTTCCCTGCCTTATCCCCCTTCAGCTAACACCTATTTATATTTCTTTGCACGTCCTAACCAACATTTGGTAATTGCTTAGTGCAGACAGTCTGCATTCCTGAATAATCTACTACTATATGATGCACGACCGACCAGCCAAGCGGCCGGCCGGCCGGCTGGCCACCAAGGACAGAGCCCAAAACAGACAATGCGGTGGACACCACACAGCTAAATCATATTCCTAAATAGTTCATTTGTTGTTGTCGTTGTTATTTTGCGGGAACTTGGGGAGTTTGCGGCGCACAAGACACAAATAAAAAATTTAGCAGCAACCACTTCTCTGCTGCATGAACTCTCGCATAGAAAAATTATCGATAATACGATTTTTCTATAGAAAAATTTTCGATAATGCGATTTTTCGATAGAAAAATTTTCGATAATGCGATTTTTCGATAGAAAAATTTTCGATAATGCGATTTTTCGATAGAAAAATTTTCGATAATGCGATTTTTCGATAGAAAAATTTTCGATAATGCGATTTTTCGATAGAAAAATTTTCGATGATGCGATTTTTCGATAGAAAAATTTTCGATAATGCGATTTTTCGATAGAAAAATTTTCGATAATGCGATTTTTCGATAGAAAAATTTTCGATAATGCGATTTTTCGATAGAAAAATTTTCGATAATGCGATTTTTCGATAGAAAAATTTTCGATAATGCGATTTTTCGATAGAAAAATTTTCGATAATGCGATTTTTCGATAGAAAAATTTTCGATAATGCGATTTTTCGATAGAAAAATTTTCGATAATGCTATTTTTCGATAGAAAAATTTTCGATAATTCAAATTTTTTTCTATAGAAAAATTATCGATAATTCAAATTTTTTTCTTTAGAAAAATTATCGATAGTTGGATTTTTCTATAGAAAAAGGATCGACAATTCGATTTCTATAGAAAAGGTATCGATATTGAGGTATATATTTTTTGGAAAATATTAAAATCCCCTCTCACAACAGTTTGTAGTTCTCTGCCTTTTCCTCAACACTCTTACTGGCCACTTGCAGTTGATGCCTCTCTGGCTGTTGCTATTGTAAACATTCAAACCGGCATTTGTTCACTTTTCATCTTCGTTCAATATCTGTTTACCATTTCTCTTTTTCTCTCTCTCCCATGTTCTTTAGAAGATATGATGTGGTCTGGCTTTCAACTACGTCAGTATATCTACTTAGAGGGACAAATGCGATTTTCCCATTTTTTCTTGTTTTTTTTTTCTTTCATTTCTCTTTTAGTTCCCTGTTCCCTTCCCTGCCTTATCCCCCTTCAGCTAACACCTATTTATATTTCTTTGCACGTCCTAACCAACATTTGGTAATTGCTTAGTGCAGACAGTCTGCATTCCTGAATAATCTACTACTATATGATGCACGACCGACCAGCCAAGCGGCCGGCCGGCCGGCTGGCCACCAAGGACAGAGCCCAAAACAGACAATGCGGTGGACACCACACAGCTAAATCATATTCCTAAATAGTTCATTTGTTGTTGTCGTTGTTATTTTGCGGGAACTTGGGGAGTTTGCGGCGCACAAGACACAAATAAAAAATTTAGCAGCAACCACTTCTCTGCTGCATGAACTCTCGCCATTGACTTGGGAACAGAGACTACTGGGTCGACTGACTGGATTTGATGTCGCATCAGCGGCCAGTCTGCTGTTCAGATATTATTGCTTCGATTTTAACTAGCTTAACTTATGCGGTTGGTGTCTCTTGCCTGTGGAAGTTTTATGTTTTGTTTGCTCCTTGGTGTTTTCTTGTCATTGCGGCGAAACTGTTTCAAGGCCTGTTTTTCTTGGCTAAACAGTTGTAAGCGAAGTTTGAGGAAGGTATGAGGAAAATAGGAAATCAATTGAAATATTATCGACAGTGAGATTTTTCTAAGTAAATATTTTTGATAGTGGGATTCTTCTATGGAGAATTTATCGGTAGTGGGAAATTTCTATAGAAAAATTATCGGAAGTGGGATTTTTCTATAGAAAAATTATCGGAAGTGGGGTTTTTCTATAGAAAAATTATTTTTCCATAGAAAAGGAAAAATTATAGATAATCAGATTTTTCTTTGGAAAATTATTGATAATCAGTTTTTTATATAGAATAAGTTTTTTTCTATAGAATTATGATCGATAATCAGTTTTTTCTATAGAAAGATTATTGATAATCAGTTTTTTCTATAGAAAAATTATCGATAATCATTTTTTCTATGGAAAAATTAACGATAATTAGTTTTTACTATAGACAAATTATCGATAATTAGTTTTTGTATAGAAAAATTATCGATAATTAGTTTTTTCTATAGAAAAATTATCGATAATTCAATATAGAAAAATTATCGGTAATTCAATTTTTCTATGGAAAAATGATCGATTGGAAGATTTTTCTATAGAAAATTATCGATTGTAAGATTTTTCTAAAGAAAATTATCGATTGTAAGATTTTTCTATAGAAAATTATCGATTGTAAGACTATTCTATAGAAAAATTATCGATAATGCGATTTTTCTCTAGAAAAATTACCTATAATACGATTTTTCTCTAGAAAAATTATCGATAATGCGATTTTTCTCTAGAAAAATTATCGATAATTCGATTTTTCTATAGCGAAATTATCGATAATGCAATTTTTCTATAAAAAATTTATCAACAATTAAATTTTTCTATGGAAAAATTATCGATAATGCGACTTTTCTATATAGAAAAATTATCGATTATTGGAATTTTTCTATAGAAAAATTATCGATAATTTGAATTTTTCTATAGAAAAATTATTGATAATACGATTTTTCCATAGAAAAATTATCGATAATACGATTTTTCTATAGAAAAATTATCGATAATACGATTTTTCTATAGAAAAATTATCGATAATACGATTTTTCCATAGAAAAATTATCGATAATACGATTTTTCCATAGAAAAATTATCGATAATACGATTTTTCTATAGAAAAATTATCGATAATGCGATTTTTCTATAGAAAAATTATCGATAATGCGATTTTTCTATAGAAAAATTATCGATAATGCGATTTTTCTATAGAAAAATTATCGATAATGCGATTTTTCTATAGAAAAATTATCGATAATGCGATTTTTCTATAGAAAAATGATCGATAATGCGATTTTTCTATAGAAAAATGATCGATAATGCGATTTTTCTATAGAAAAATT